CCAAAGAGCCTCGTGCGGCAAAGCAAAAATTACGGGGTCGAGCAAAGCGCCAGCCAGAAGTTTGCTCGAGGCGGTGAATTCTCTCGAGCGTGGGAACGTCAAGGTATAAGAAAACAAAGGGTGAACCAAGACAAAGACAAAGCGACTGAGAGAGATAGGCCAGGCGGGGCAGAGGCCGAAGGGGGAAAGCTCTGACGGGTTGATAGAAACGGCAACCAAATGAGCGCATGTTTTGAGCTTTAAATCGTGCGTCGGCGTCGGCGTCGGGTGTGGAGAATTATTGCGGAAAGGAAACGGAACGAAAGGAAAAGGGGTTTGTTCAATCTCTACTTTACTACTCGGTGATTTGATAATTTTTATAGAGAACGGGGTAGACCCAGGGATGTGGGATTTGTAGCGAGAGAATTCCCAGTAAAGGTTATTTTTTTCCACGTAGTTCTTATAACGATGGCCTCGAGCGAGGATAATAAAGTGTGGAGGATTTCCAACGACTGAAGAGTTGCTACAAAAAGTCTAAATGCTATAACTGGTGAAATGATAAACTTTAATAAAACTCGAGGAATATTTAATATGTGAGGTAAAAGCGGGATAATGAGCAGATGTCATTAGATTTTTGAGTTTATTATTTAAATTATAATTATTATCTGGATGAAGTTGTTTTCGGAGTTGTTGGGAGGCTAAGTAGTTTAGGATGCGGAATAATAAACTAAAAATAGGCAAGCCAGGGGAGAAATTCCGCTTTGTAATAATGGTCATTAATTTACTCGTTTAATTTAACGATAATTTGAGATTTCTCCGGCCTGGAGGGCGAAAGGGATGTGACAAATCGCATTAAACGTGCTCTATATACCAATCGACGAACGTAAGAGGGTCTGCCAGGACTCCAGGCTTACAAATATCGTTCCGCTTGAAATTTGGGACGTTTTGAATGTAAATGTTTGATTTACTATTCAAATTAATTCATCTTAAAAATGTGAATTTTATAAATTTTTGATTCAAACTCGAAACTTTTCCAAAAACATCGAATTCTAGCGGTCTTGTTCGAATGTAACAGTAGCTAGGAACAAGGACAGCGGTTGATTAAGAGCAGCCAAGGGGATACTGCGAATGGAAATACTTTGTAGCCCAGAGCTCGGTTGACAGTGTCCAGTAACGGGTAAATTGGTAAAAATGTGGTGGAGTTGTTCCATAAGATGGAAAACACGCTTGGACCATTTTTCCTGGCTGTCCGGAAAATCCTCTCTCTTATTTGTATCCATACACTTTTATACTTTCCACACACACGAGCTTTATCCTCTCAGACAGTCTCTTTGTCTCCTATGCTTACTCAATATTTCTAATTTCGCTGGCAACTGCCCTTTATTTCCATTTTCCAGCCGCTCTGAACTTCACGCCGATTGCATTTTCTATCTGTCTCCTTTTTTAGCTCCTGGTTGAATTTTTTGGCTCAGCCTCAACCTTAAAGCGCTGTTTGTTCCTCAATTTTTTTCACTTTCCAGCTTCTAGCTTCTTCTTCTCCCAACGGAATCAGGAGCGTGTATTCAGCCAGGAAATTGAGTGCTCCTCAGTGCTAGCAAGGAATGAAGAGGCTGCAGAATGCAGGATGCAGAATGTAGGGCAGCATTGCTGTCCTATCACTCGGTGTACCAGCTGCTAATGACTTTTCGTGGTTCGAATTCCTGGAGTGAAAAGCTCACCTCTCCTCCAGGCAATCCCTTCAATCAGTGTCTGAGTGTCTGGCTTTGAAACGCCGTTATCACTCACAATTTTCTGCAAGTAACCATCTTATTTCACCATTCCACACTGAGGTATACACCGTACACAGTACACAGTAACATTTCACTTTATTTAATCCCTCGCCACCACCAGAATTTAATTTCTCAGGAATCAACCGTCCAGGATGTTTACTGCAACTACTTTTTCTTTTATTTATTTATTTTTATTTTATTCCTGCTTCTATTTTCTCGGATCCAATTTAAAGACTTCTACGATTTTTCTATTTTCTCCAGTAACGAATTCAACTTGAGACGCTGGAAATTGTCGAGGCTTCTTCTCCAGTAGATCACTAAATGACATTCGATACTCGACTTAATCTTTCACACCTTCCACGGAGCTTTTGTTCTTTATAATTATAAATTCAAATATAAACATTGAAGATTTAAAGAAAAAATAAACAAACTTGAGATACTTTTCAGGGAAAATTGTAGTCCTTAAAAACAATTTTCTGTTCAAAAATTCTATATAAATACATTTTCTACAAAATATACAAGTCAATTAGACGAAATTGGTTTCATTATTAATTAAACTATAAACCAACAGCATACAAGCTCTTTAGGAGTCTCAAAAAACGATTTTTGCCTTAGAATTAAGTACTTAAAAATTTAACTCTCTTGTAGCGAGAAAATTTCACGACCATGCGCCATCTGTTGGATATTTTTAAAACTAATTATGATCAAAAATTATCTATGAACATATACAGGCTAAGTATGTATATTTTTAATTTAATACGACTATATTTGCAAACTTTTTCACATCACATATGTTAATTTTTTTCCAAAATTCTATAAGTATGTTTCGCAAACTATTAAATGGAGATAGAATAAAACCCATTTCCCGAAAAGACACTCAAACACTTCACCAGGGAATTTTTCACCTTAATATTTTGAGATAATGAAGATGTTAATTGGTTAGAGGGTGGCTAAAAGAACTTGGAGGAACGAATAGTGTATGGGAGTAGAGGCTTTCAAGTTGATCGTGATAACGCTTATAATCTATGGGTTAATTATAAACGATGAGTGCGGGGAGGAGGGTGAAAGTTATACCTAAATTCATGTGGTCCGCCGTTGATGGGAATATAAGCTAGACAAGCTACAGGGGATGCGAAAGGGTGTATAACCACTTCCACTTCCATTTAACCTGCTCTCTTACTTCCTCCACGGTCTCTCCAGACACGAGCGAATCCAGAGTTTTCTCCAATTGGTATTATACCTTGCCATACCTTTGCTAGAAATCCCGAGCGCAGTGTCTGATACCACGAGTAGTCTCGTATATTTTGGTGCCCGTTATTATCGAGGGGTAGATTTCATCGTGAATATTTATGAGGGTGCGGGTTCTCGTGGTTTAAGCCCCACACTCTCGAGTCTTGCGCACCCTCCGCTCACTACACCCAGAGCTATCGACTCACTCGACTACTAGGCGTCGCTACATCTACATCTATATCTATAACTACGCTTTTCGTCTTCTTCGCGAAAACTAAACTCCTTCTTTTAACATTTTACTACCAGCGTACCTACTTTTTAAAAACTCATCTCAGCTTTCGATATAACTGCTCGGCAACTCACTCAGTGTCATCAAATGAATAAAATAAGTCAGACAAGAAACTGAATTAATTTCAGACTAGCATAATAAGTGCCTTCTGATAGAAGGTTACTTTTATTTTTATGCATAGATCACTCTTAAAAAGTAGGGAAATATTCCTCGCAAATCTTCAAAAGATTCACTACCAATTTTTACTTGACAATTTTTATTATTGCTCTCACAAATGCAGCGCGAGTAAAAAAAATTAGGAAAACGATTGACCCTAGAAGCCATCCCTACATCTACCAGCTCATTCGATATTTAAGCGCTAAAAATTGCACTTATTACGTTTTTGAGCTCTCCGAGCTCAAAAGTCTGATTGAAGTTTAATAAAACACAATTTTTTGAATTTTCAAACCCTAATAACTCACGAACCAATCAACCGATTTTCACGTTCTTGAAATAATAATTATTTTATTTCATAATCTGAGATATCACTGGGGAAAATGGGAGATTACAATGAGTATATTCCAAATATCACTAAGTATAATCTGAGTTATACTAGCTACTATTTGAAATTTTTTTTTTACTACAGATGTCACTGAGTATAATCTGGAATGTTATCCAGTGTAATCTTGTTCATTCTGCGTAGCAAGCTTTTTATAAGAATTTTTACAAAATTCTATGATTTTCCTGAAATTTGATAAAATTCCATAAAATTTTATAAGTTCTTCGTAGACTTAAATTTCATACCATTTCAGCACTCAAATTCAATGAAATTCTAGAATAACTTATAAAATCAGTATTTTCGGTCATTATTATCTATTAAGTGGCATTCATTCATTTAGTCCATATTATCATGAAGCTGGACTATTATTATGGACGTACTATTTTAATAAAGATCCAATCTTTTATAATAAACATCGAATTTTTTGTAGTAAAAACATCAAAATTTTTGTTATACAGGGATAAATTATACCACGCCACCAAAATTTTAAACCAATTCATAAAACTATTTATAGGGTGACGCGACCGTTGATCCAACGACAATTAATCTGCGACGATTGATCCGCGACAACTGATCCGACGACAATTGATCCGAAGGTCCGAATGTATCGTACCTATTTATAGTAATTAACGTTCTAATTTGCTATTGAACTTATGTTTTTAACGTCAGATACGTCCAACTAACGATTTTAAAGCCCAATACATCCGACTCATGATAAAAATCTTTTTCCGGGCGTAGTTTTATAAAAATGTTAGTTGTTCATTTCTAGTCGTTTATCACAATTTTTAATTGTAAAAATTACAATGTTAATAAAACAAACGCAACAATGTTTCAAAAGTTGCATAATAAGGATGAATGCAATAGTTCGGTATCTATAAAGTCTATTGTCAAGAGTATAAGTAATGCATGAATAAATCAATTGTCAATTGACTTAATTGCATTTAAATATAGAAAAAAAAAGGATAACGTGGGAAGATAATTTATTTAATTCAATAAAAAATAATAGAATTTATTGACAATATCTTATTTGTAGTACAATCTAACATGACATGTTTGTTTTAATTTGTATAGATGATCGCTAGTGATGATGCTATATAAACCATTCGACTGAATTATTTTTTTATGATTCAATTTCCTCGTAATTCTTTAATAGAGTTCGTCAGTACACCTTTTACTTAAAAAGTTTTACTTAAACATGTTCATCAAAAAAATAATCGAAAGCATATTTATTGCAATTATACTTCAACTCATTGGAGTACAGGTATTTCAAAAATTGTTAATTTGATTGAATATTACATTATTTTTTATTTCTTTTTGTTCTTACGCGATGAAATTTTTTTTGTTAAAGTTGCCGCAAAAAAATAAATATTCTTGAGAGAAATTGGAACACACAGGGTAAAAGTCCTATTTGTGGACACTGTACCATTTTTGGACATTTGATGTCCAAATTCTTGTATAAATAATTTATAAACGTTATAGCATCATATGTCTTGTTTGTACAATCATTGAATTTCAATGTATCCAAAAATAGTACTTAAGTGTCTAACAACATAATAGTGTTACATAAAACGAAAATAAATATTTCAATGAGCAATAATAAATTTTTACTTTTGTTAATTTTTTAGGGTGCCGTTGAAATCATTATAGAGGATGTACTTTTTCCAACTTTTAGTAAAGAATATTTAACCGAGCCAGATGTTTATGTAGATGTTAACAACCAATTGTTTGCTAACTTTTCGATAGTTAAACAATTTCCACCGGATGCTCAAGTAATGAGTGTTCTTACCATATTTATTATTATAAATTATAATAATTACTATTTTAGTTTCTTAAAAATTAATTACAATTTTTTTGACTACATTAAAAGAAATATAAAAACCTACAATTGAAACTAGTAAGTTTTGATGCTAACCGAGTTCATTAAAATTTATAGGTTCACTTCGAAATACTAGGAGCTTCGATGGGTGAATATGTCATAGAAACTGGAATCGAAATACAGATGAGCTTGTGTGAAATGAAAGATGAACCTGTTATACTGAATCCTATTCTTGGAATGTTTGGATTAAGTGTCTCCGATTGTCCACATCCTGTTGTAAGATCTAATTGAATATTTTTTATTACGCTGGTATTATTGTTATTTTATATATTACTCTAGGGTGTTTATGGAAATCAAAACATTGAAATACCAATGGAATTATTGCCAGATGAATTTATACCCAATAAATATCTAGTAGTCGGCGAATTTCTAAATGAAGAGGAGAAATTATTAGTACTTATGATATACATTACTATTCATTAGAGCTTGAAAGAACTACAATACAAACTACTATTATTCTTGTTTATGCTTCACAAAATTTATCGATTTATTTAATAAAGATTTTTGAAAATTTTCAATTTTCTTAGCGGGAAATTAAAAAAAAATCTTCCGAATCTAGAATATCAAATCTAAGAAAATTGAATAAATCAAATTCGAACTAAAAATGACGAATAACTGTTTTAATGTAATTAAATTAATACAAATAATTTTGATAAGGCTTACTAGCAACTAAACCAGTGTATTCGTTAACTCGCGTGACTGTCTGCACGTGATCGCGGTAGTATTCCGGCAAGAGAGTTCCAAGTTGTTGAGTCCCGTCGCTCTCCTCTCATTACAGTTAAGCGAATCACGGCGTGACTAACGGGTCATAAGTTAGAGCTACCTCGGTATAATATACATAGGTATATTATTTACTGGTTGGGAGCCCTCCGTCTGTTCTCCACAAAACAGATAAACCTGACGGTTAAACCCAGAAGATAACCCGGCTAACCAACAAGTTTAACCAAAAGTAACCAGGAGCAAACTGCTAAGCTATAACTCTGATAGTTTTGTTCACGGTGTTGGCGATGAGTTTAAACTGATTCCTGCTCTCCGGAGGATAAGTGACCCGCAACCTTCTCAGACCTTAATTTCGTTTTAATCAGCCCAACACTGCTTCCGATCCTCCGAGACTCGCTCACATTTTTACAAACTTTTCAATTAATATTGAAATTTTATTAGCACAATCTGAGATTCGATTTTATTCGGCAATAATTTTAACTGTTTGATGGTTTTTATGACAGCTAATTGTTCATTTAATGAGGAGATATCTTAATGCCCGGAAAACACGGCATGATTGCTGCCGAAGAGCATAATTTAAAAAGGTTATACGTAGTGTAGGTTTTTTACTAGTAAAAAGCACGCGACACAAAGTCACTGCGGTATTATGATATTACTATTTAAACGTGTAGAGTTCTAATAAGATTAAGTGTGTAGGAGCAGTAGGAAAGAGTGTCAACTGAGAATCTCCATTCAGAAACACTGAGACTAGCGCTCGGCTCCCACTTTTTTATCCCCTCGTTTTTCCGCAAACATTTTTTCAAGTTCCACTTGATGTACGTTGCACTTGACATGGATGGGATGATGCCTTAATTGGATAGAACTAGTTTGTTTTTCCACGAGTTTTGTGCTCCAGTGTTTACAAAGACCCACACTGCAATATCCGTATCATTGAGCTTTTTATTTTTAATTTAACATCAGGCTCAAAGGGAAAAGGGAGCACAGGACTCGGAGCATGAATGAAAAACAAAGTGAATTTTACATTGGTGCTACCGAAAAATAAAAAAATTGTTAACAAGTGTCTAGGGTCTGGAGAGCCTAATACAAGGGAACCTAGAGTCTGATGTCAAGCTTGCAATTTCGTGGCCAAGATGTTTAAAGTTTATAAGCAAAAGCCAGCCTCCGGAGTTTTTTCTTTGTGGAAAAAAAAAACAGTATACTAGTCTAGTGTGTGCACAGAAAAAGTAAAGAACTTGCTAAAGTAAGAGAAGAACCCGCAAAATAAGAGGAACTTGCTGATAGCTACTTTGTTGTAAGTCAACAGTGAGAAGCGCTACAATTTTCCGCTGACTTGGTCATTAGATTTTTATATTTTTGGAAATCTTACAACTTATAGGGCAGCTAATTTTGATAAGAGTGACTAGAAATGCACCTTTGAAGTGATATCTGTAAATTCTCAGTTAGAAAGGAACCTTTCAGAGAAAATTCTTCAGAACAATCCAACGTGTTGCGTAATTACTGATGTTCAAAGTTAAAACTTTGGAGAAAGAAAAAAAGTAAGGATTTTTTTCAGGAAATCAGTACGATATGTTACCATTTAACGGGGATGACTTGCCAAAAGAGTAAGCCGAAGGGAAAAAAATGAAGAACAAAAAAAAAGCTAGGGAAGTTTTCCAACCCCGTCAATTATCCCGGCGAATCCTGGAAAAGTTAACTCGTCAGAAGAAGACCCGAGTTGGGAAGGTAAAAAAACAAAGTAAACCTCTCTGACTAACTCCGCTTAAGGCTGCTCCATCGAGGGGCTTCGACATTGAACTCAACGAGTTGTCTCTAGTTTCAGGCAGCCATCCGCTCTCCGCTATCCAGTACCTTCGGGAAAGGGAGTTTGTTGTTCAAGGACTTCGCCCTTCAATGTTCGCCGTTCGATACACCAACTAATTCCGAGATTCTCAACTCGGGATTAATTTGTCTTGCCATTTATAACGATAAACACAAACAAGGATCATCTTTTAAGCTATCGTTCGAGCGTTAATAAATCAAACTTATTAATCGCCGGACGTGAACAATATTAATCGTCAGCTTGGATTCCCTATCTCGAGCTCTTCTATGGCGATCCGTCCTACTCAATCTTGCTCCGCTCCTCTTCTTGGCTTCTGTCCGCACTGGAGCAATGCCTCAGAGTCAGAGTCTGACCAAAATGTCCTCCTCCAGCAATTATCTACTGCATTCTACGCGGGGGTTAAAGCGCGATTATGCGACCGCAGCAATAACTATGGAACCCCCGGGACGAGCTCTTCCCATTCATCCTCCGGCAAACGGCTTCAGTGGTCTACCCAGAATCCCGCCAAATGCTTCGCATTTCAACTGTTAATTCTCGGTATCAAAACCCCCTCTTTAGTACGTTTCGTCTTGGACCGAGATTTATGGTCGTCCAGAGAACTCGGCTAAGGCAACCAAATTTTCGTGAATTGAATTTATTTAAGCTTTTTCTGCCATTAGAAAAAAATTTTTTATAAATAAATTGAATCTTATTATTAATTTTAAAGTCAAAATAAATTCACCCTAACCCTTTAGTCATTAATCAAACAATAATCTCCATTAAATCCGTGGCTTTAATTTCGTCACACCTCCCAACACATGTCACTACATCCCGGCATTACCATAAAAGTAAAGGTATAAGCTTTAGGTATTTAAAAAATAATTTTAAAGAAGGGCAAAGCAGTTACTGCCTTGTCACTCTTCTTGATTGAATCCATTGTTGAGTTTAACCGGCAGCTGGTAGAAAAATTAACTTGATAAATAAATTCAATAGCACGCCAAGAATGTCCCCCTGTAATTAAATTCCCTCAATAATTATTTATTCATTCCACGCGGAAGGAAAAGATGATTATTATTATTAATAATAATAATAATAAAAAATTCCCTTCTTTCAAGATGATTACAGCAAAGAAAATATTAACAACTTGATATTCTGGAATCAGATATGTCGCCTTGACACTTTACTCCCTGGAAAAAATAATCGACTGAAGAATCGACGTCCAACAACGTTATTAGCATCCGGGCTGTAGGTCGTTACTACCAACGGAGGCACCGCGAAAATAAATAACAGCCCCTACAACGTCGAGAGATTATCAAGGAGCAATCGCCTTGAGAAACGTAATGGAACAAAAAGTTTGAATAAAAACCGAGCGTAGTTTACGTCTACAACATTGCAGTCTCGTCCTGACGTCCTTATACATTGAACGTGTATCGTACGTGTACTTAACCGTAGGATAATCGAGGTTGCTAATGTATGCAACGAAGTTCCTTTTGCTTCCCTTCATCTACCGGGGACTATTTTTCTTAAGACTTTCGTGTTGTGTCGCTGTTGCTTTCTGTGCATGCCTTTTTTGTTTTCCGAGTTTTTGATTGTCTGATTTAGGTGGAGATACAGACAAAACTACAGCCGTGACGGATATACTAACATTAGCAGTTTCTGCGGTTTTGCATTATACAAATGCATACTACCCATTTGTGGTGATTACATCTTCGGTATGGAGTTAAATAAACAGCTCATACTCGGTGCATGGAAGCTAGATGAGAAAGTGGCCAACGTTGGTATGAAGAGGAAGTTAATGAGGGAAAATTGTATGACTGAAAGTCCTGGTGGTAGAACGCAAAACAACCCTAAATTCACTAATTATATGCCCGTTGATTCTTCCTACCAAGATTAGTGTACAGTGATGATATTAATGTTTGCTTTGGTTCTTGAAAGTCAATGGGATGGATTGTACTGAGAATAATGGTCAGATAATTTTAGTTTTCTGACGTTATAATTGCTAAATTCTTGCTTTATTAAAAATTTTACCCATAATTTAGATTCTAAATAGTAGATTTTTAACGCATAAAAAATTATGATAATTTTATATGCAGATGCACAGAAAGGCTAATTACAAATTACAATTAGGTTCAGTATCAACATACCCAATTAATCACCCCGCTGCAAAATGATAATTATTCAAATAACGAGTATGAAGCAGAGTAATTAAATGCACTTATGACTTGCCAGATTCCTCGGGGTGATTTAACCCATCAGAGCCCCAAGATTGGCATTACAGCAACTCTCACACGAAAAGGAGCAAAGAGTTAACGGGAAGTTTTAGTTTGCTCCTAGCTTCCGGATATGTAACACCTCCCTACGCGATTATAACAGGGTGCGACTCGGGAATTTCCACAAACCACGAGATTAATTTCGTCTTCCGTTTTTATCTAATTAACGATAATTTACCGCAACTTAACCGCACCAATTTTGTTATTAATTACCGAGATATTTCAAAGTAAGCAGCACTTTTGTTTTTCCTCTGGGAGATTTTTCGCGGCCCTTTTAGAACCCAAAACCGAGCGCTAGAATTTAACAACAAAGAAAACAGGCTTCCAGTTTACAATCTGCTCGGGAAATAGAACAAAAAACCGGTCAATTAAGTGAAAACTGTGTAAAGGTGTCGCGCAATAGGACCTCTGCTATTACATCCCGGTTTTTATTCCGCGCCTTTTATTTAAAATAGCCCCGCGGGTGGCTAATATCCGAGTATGTGCTGCTAGTATCCGTTGTCGAGCTTTTTTATCCATTTCGGTGTTTTCCAATGGCTGTTACCGACATGCCGTTTGAAATCCTGGCGCTCCCCCTCCCTTCACCGAGAAAAGGGAGAGGAAAATAGAGCTTTTTGCGCTATTGAAAACTATTG